AGTGCCAATCTCAATAGCAATCTATGGTATCCCAATACAAAGCGGGCTTTCGAACGGTTAGAATCCGTCAGATGGCGGCATCAGATATTCAAGTGGGAGCGGAAATCACCATTCAATAGTTTCTGACACGTCAGAAAAAGGGTACTGGCCAGCAGCGCCAGTCCCTTTCTCAATTCAGAGTACAATTATCCTTGATTTAGACAAGTGGCCCGAGATACAGCATTAAAAAGTGAGCACCGACTCGCTGAGTTGGTGGGCTGTGATAATGTGGTATTTACTGACGCGTCAACAAGGGGTGACGCCAATCTCAATAGCAATATATGGTATCCCAATACAAAGTGATCTTTCCGACGGTTAGAACACGTCAGATGGTGTCATCATATAGTCAAGTGTGAGCGGAAATCATCATTCAATATTTTCTGACACGTCAGCAACAAGGGACTAGCCGGCAGCGCTCGACAGCACAGGGGTAACCTAAGCGCGATGCGTTGCGCTCAGATGTAGATAATCATCGTCATTTTCAAAGGGCAACAGTAACGCACACGTCGGCTTATAGCATGACTTACCTGAATCGCAAATACATCGGGATAACATTTACACAGCAGCAGCATTGAATCCATAGATTGATACCAACACGATACATCGTACAGCGTATATCATACAATGCCGTAGTGAGAGACAACATCAATGGCGCGCTTTTTTGGACGTAGTCGATGACATATAGCTACCTTTGCGCTTGCTAGACGGCCCGCCGCCGGATTCGTCGTCCTGGACACCTTCCTGGACAGGAGGCAGAACCAACTTACACAAAGGAGCTTTCTCCGCTTGCTGCTTAGCGCGAAGTCTCGATTCCGCAGTCAAGAGCTGGGTGGCATCACGGAAGCGTGCTATTTCTCGCTAGGGCTTGAGAATGTCACGGATGTTGACCGGATCTCCCGGGGATAGCGACATGTTATCGTTAACCTCCTTCGCGACAGCTGCGAGATTCGGGTAGCCCATACCACGAGCGAGCTTCTTGCAAATCTCGTAGCCGTGACCCGTCAGGTTCGCATGAGTCGACAATGGTCCCTTAGCGAGGGCTTGCGCCTCCATGCGGTCCGCATCGTGCATCATCACCATTAGGGCGAGAAGAGGTCGTTCATATAAGACTTCACAGCAATTTGAGCCTCGTCGACACAGTAAGAAACCCAAACTTACCGAAATCCGCCGGCAAATACGGCAGCGTGAGAACCATGCGGTTGAGTGTCTCCATCGCGTTGTAATGGTTCTGGTTCGTCGTATGGTTGCCGTACTTGTTATCGACTGACCGCGCAAGCTCCGTCCGGTGGAGGGTGTCGTACAAAAAGAAATGCCCGCCCTGGGCGACAGATTTGACGGGGGTATAGACGGCGTGCATCTTGCCTGGCGGTTGGAAGCTAGATATAATACACGTCAGCGACAGCGGATGACAAGTTGGAGACACATACAGTGCATCACCCGGGTATAGCACAACGACCTCGACATCGAAGATTTCAGCAATCGTCTTTTTCGCGAGATCAGGATGGGACTTGGCCAGGTCAGTGTCTGGCAGCTGCGATTCTGTCGGCTCTGGATCAAAATTCATGAGACAACAAAGATGCGACATCAACATCTTCTGCGTTGCGCGATCGAGGTTGCGGTGCTCATCGTTGAGATTGAAATAGCACCAGAACTTGACGCCGCTATGCGGAATGATCCAGGTGCAGTTTCCATCCGAATCTTGGTGGGCGTAGGTGACCACCCCAGCCTGATGAAGCAGCACCCAACCGCAGTTCAACCAATTGTCTGGATGGACCCACTGTCCCGCGGTGGGGTATGCAGCTGCCGTCATGCCCCAACCCTGCGCCAAGCCATCATCAAGGTTCCTGATGATATGTGAGACTTTAGAAATGAAAAAATAGAACATACCCACTCGAGTCCTTGTGGCAACGAGCGTGTGCTCAAGTTGCACGCCAGCACAAACTTGATGTCTTGTGTATCGTCAGCACTGTCGACGATATCATGCAGTAATCCGTGTTCATAGGGTTCAGCCCAGCTGGCACAGCGTTTGCGAACATCTGATTCCTGGTTAGATTACTGACACGTTAGCAATGCAGAAACTCACCGTGAATGTCTACCGGCATGTCCGCCGGCAACGCATATTCGTTCCACAAACGTTCTGTCGTGAACTCAAAGTCCTTGGGCGGCCGGATCATGTTGCGAATGAGGCACGCCTTCCCTTCGCGTAGACCAGTACGGATTTGGCCAGCAACATCTTGGCTGGTTGAAT